TATATATAAAGTAATAAGTAATTAATTAAAATAACTCTTATTCAAATAATTTCTAATATAAATTTATAATTGTATTACTTTATTTATATTTACATTAATATTGAATAACTGATTATATTTTTTTAACTTTCATCGTTAATTAAATCCCTCTTACATAATTAGACACTTAATATACAAACCTAAAAGACAGTCTTCCAATTTGCGATGGAAACGCAACCTAATAAACGACGCGGTGCGGCGCGGCGAGGTACGATAATAAAATAAACACTCCAATTCACATTAAATCAATCGAGGGGCATTCAAATTCCTCTCTCTCTCTCTCTCTCTCGCAACCGAGTGTCTTTCCAGCCAATAGGCTAGCGGCGATCGGTTCGCGCTCACGGCAATCGCCAATCGGCGGCAGTTTGTCGTCCACGTGGAATAGCATCCCGCGTATAGAAGCATGATGCCACGTGCGCGCGACAATCGTTCACGATCTTTTCTCCGTGAGTGGGAAAACGCAATTTTCAAAAATGCGGTTAGACGATCTTACACGCTTGGCCGGACACGCCGCAACGGCGTTGCACGCGCGCCGTCGACCGTTGTCGGAGCTCTGCGTTGGAGTACCGTCACGTCACCGGTACGGCTGACGAAACAAGTGTCTGTATACAAGATGGCGGCGCCCGGAGTTAAGACCGAGGATCGCGAGGAAGCAGCAGCGTGTGTCAATGATGCCGCAGCGACGAGGAGAGTGAAGTGAACGGGTGGCCGGTGCTACGTGCGCGGTAACTACGACAACGACGACCCGACTCGACCCGACCGACCGACCGGTGCGGTGCGGCGCGGCGCGGCGCAGCGCGGCGCGGCACAGCGGAGTACGGTACGGTACGGTGCGGTGCGGTGCGGAGCGGTGCAGTGCAGGGCAGTGCGTGTTGCCTAGCCTATCCCGGGTAGAGCGGTATCGCAGCGAGCTGAGCATCACGGCGGTGGCAACGGCAACGGCTAAGCGACAGCGACAGCGACTGCGGTGGCAGTGACGGTTACGGTGACGGAAGCGTCTCGAAAGATGCGGTCCGAGCAATGGAAGAAACGGCAGGGACTCGACGCGTAGCCTTGGCCAATGGTGGTTAGTAGGCAGACAGGCAGACAAGCAGGTAGTCGAGCGTATTGGGACGTAGGCGCGTCAGGCAGGTAAACGAAGAGGTCCGAGGCGTGGGATCTCTGTCGGTGGGAGAGGAAGTGCGGCGAGGAATCAGCTACGATCAGTTTCGTCCCCAGGCAGCGTCACGACTCACGGCCGTGCGGAGCTACGTCCTCTACGTCGTTTATCGTCATTCCATTCCCGTACCGCGTACGTCCGGTTGGGAGATAGCGAAGTGCGAAGCGACTACGTCTTGTCTGGTTTTTGCGTCGCTCCCTGTAGTCTCGCCATTGACGCCGACGGCGACGCTGGTACGGAGCAAGCGAGAAAGGAAGTAAAAGAGAGAAAGAGAGAGAGAGAGAGAGAAAGAGATAGAGAGAGATAGAGTGCGAGAGTGAGAAAGAGGCGAGCGAGGGACGCGGAGCTTTCTCGAGAGACTTGGCGACATAACGATGGCGACGATATCGACGATCACGACAACGTCGATGTCGACGTCAACGACGAGGATCGAGACAGCGATGGCGACGGAGCCGAGAAGGAACTATAACGAACTGTGTCGCTTATGCGCTTCTTACGACGCCGTTAGGATGCACATATTTGGCCAGGAAGGCAAGAATCGTCAACTCGTCGACAAGATTGAAACGTGCTTGCCGTTCAAGGTAAGTCTTCCTTCTCTTTGTTCGCCTTCTTCGCGACATGCTGAGATATTATCCTGTTCCTTGTGGGATCGCAACAAATCATCTATTTCCTTCTCTCTCTCTCTCTCTCTCTCTCTCTCTCTGTTTCTCTTTCTTCCGTCTTATTTTGTCTTCCGCAGCGTCCCTTATTTTCTCTCGCTCTCTCTCTCTTTCTCTTTCTCAATTTCGTTTACTTTTCCGAGTGACCTCCCTTGGTACTTCGTGGCCCTGCACGATTCGTCCTCGATCTCATTCTCCCGATAAGAGACGAAGAGGCAAAAGGAGTGCGAGAGCGATAGAGAGAGAGAGAGGGGGGGGGGAGAGGGAGAGAGAGGAGATTCACGGACGACTCGTTCGGTGTCGACGGGGCGTTACTGGGTGAAGGTTTTCTTCCCGCCGCGTCGTCACCGTCGGCCATCTCGCTCGCTCATCCGCTTGTACACCGAGAGCGTGCTCGATGACGAATTCCACCCGGTTGGCCATCGCTTATCGAGGACGTCGCGACGGCGAGGTCGGCCTGACGCAAGGAGACACGCTTCGTCGCGCGACGCACTGGCGACATTTTGTTTGCTGCTACGGCACGGCACGCGTTACGTGCTCCTCCACGGGACCACGGGATTTAACCGCCGTCGCGCCGTTATCGTCGTCGTCGAGTCACACCGAGTCGCCTCGTCGACGCGTAACTACGGACCGCGTTCCGGTTTATTTTCAATTTCCTGCTACAATTGGATATTTCCATTGTCACGTGTATCATCCCCTCGCAGCACCGGTTTATCATTCAGGCTCGTTGTTAATCTCGTCCTCGTGTACAACGGGATTTACACTAGCACGCGGCGTTCGAACTGGAAGATGGAAAAATTGCATCGCACGATACGCGTGATCTTTCCCAAGGTGCATCTCTATTATTATATAGATTGTCTTTCTTCAGTAGAAAAAGTAACTCTACAAATGTTGTAAAATTCTTTAATATGATTGGTTTATACACTTAAAATACTTAGATGCGGGAATTTAAGGGAAAGATCAATCATGTCGAAAGGTATTACAACTGTTGCGAAGCTACTCTTTGCGTTAAAAGCGTCTATTCTTTGACAAAAAGAGAGAATTCGGTTATTTCCATTACACTAGATTATTGCATATTAACTCTGTAGCTTAGTGTGACTTCGAAGTGACATACTAATATATCTTGTTGATTATTTAATTTTTAGAAAACAAAAATTTTTACATAAATTATACAATTTTTTTATAGCCACGAAACAATTCGGGCTATAGAGAGTTAAAAGCTGCTATACATGAAATCAGCAGAGTTAAATTAAAAGCACATTTTAAACGATTAAATGCTCAATAGTGACCGTCACATTATTTAATAAAGTATTAGTTCCCTATCAAAGTTAATTATATTATGCCATTGTATTCAGGTACTTTATATTAAAGCAACTTTTAATGTGCACTGATATTCAGTGTAATTTATCGAATTTACTATTAAAATCATACCTTGAGAATTACCTCGTCAATAAGTAATCGCGTTCCAATTTATTTCGAATTTCCTTCTATACTTGGACTGTCATTTGCATCATTCTCTTTTATTTATCGATGTTATTTATTGTTATATATTTTATCTCCGTGCATGATGAAATTTTTACCGGATCGTGTGTACAATCGAAATCCACGTGTTACGAATTTTGGTATATACACGAGCACCACATTTTGGTATGGTATTTAAACCGAAAGATGAAAGAAATACTGTACGAAACACGTGATCTTTTTTAAGTTGTATCTCTAGTCTTTATGAAAAAGAGAAATATGATGTAAAAGCATCAATTTATGTGTCTCGTGAAACTTAAATATACCTGAAATATATATGTTCAAGAGTTTATGTAACATAAAAAATAATATAAAAGCGTTTTATGATAATTGAGATAATGATGTATAAAGTATAATGAAATTTTATATTCATAAAGCTAATTAGAAGATTAAAGCGCGCTGTTTTCTGATTGAAAAATTTTTGAGTTAGATGTTTACTCTAATGGACAATCAGGACATTGTAAAAATTAGCAATACGTGTGAATAATAATTAACAATGAAATGTTTAAAATGTTAATAAAACTTTTTTCATATTCGTTTTTTGTTTTATCATTTGCATTGTTATTTATCTTCTATTTACTAGTTTTCAATGTAATATGTCTAAAGAAAAAAAGTTTTTAATGTTTTAAGAATAAATTTATTCAAAGAATATTCCTGGAATAATATTTTATGAATCATATATTATGAAACTGTTTGGGTTCTGACTGTGTTTTTTCTCAGAAAACACAACAGAAATCTAGGGAATAATTGAGTAATTCGATCGAATAATTTCATAATATGTGCCGTAGAGAAATATATATTATACTACTAATTACACTATTAATTATAGTCACATTTCCGAAATAAATTCATTTTTACGTATATATGTATTAACATCTAACTTTGATAGAAAGTGGCGCTTTTCGTATTTAGGTGATGTACTCACATAAACAATGTTCCTAATCGTATTTTATATATTTATTACTATTTTACATAAACATGAATCATTGCCAAAATCTTTGTTCAATAACTATATATAATTTAATCGTCTCTTTAATATTATTATTATCATAAGTCATAACATTGATTTCCAATGGGGTATTTATCCAATGGGATATCTGTTAACAAAAGACAAATTAGAATAAGATTTATATCAAGATATT